CTCATCTCCCCTGCATTCCCCTTCTCCCTTGTCTTTGTCCCAAGTCGCCCTGGGTTCTGTCTGTTTCCTGGTCCAAGGGAGTTTCCCCCACTCCAGCATCACTCACCTGGAGGAAAATCAGCCTCTGTCCCAGGCTTGGGAGAGAGACTGACTTGGGTTCAAATGATGGGTCTTGTACTCATTCATTGACCTGCCCCAGCTCCAGAACTGAGCCTCAGTTTCCCCAGTTTTGAATAGGGCATTCCCTCCCTCTCCAGCCATCAAAGCGAACCCCACACTTTGGACCCGGACACTCTGCACAAACTCCCGGCCGGTGGTACTGGCCAGAGCGCTGAGCTCTGGGGGCCCTCGGGGCCCAGAGGGCAGCTCAGAGAGGTGAGAGGCAGAGATCGACTGAGAGAAACCCAGACACAGATGAGAAGTGAGACGCAGAGACTGAGGGAGGGGGACTGAGGAGCACGTCCTTCCAACTGCCACCCCCAGTCCCCTCCACCATCACGTCTCTCTCTCACTCTCCTGACTTCACACTGATGTATTTTGAGAAACTCGTGAAAGGAGGCGAGAAAAAGGGTGGGGAGGGGCTGGAAAATTGGAGAAAGAAGGGGTGAGGTTAGCATAGCTCCCCCTCCACCACCAACCCCCGTCACTGCGCCATCCTCCTGCCCCCTCTTCTGTCCGGCCCTATCCGTGTCTCTCATGTTACTAGAGGGTGGGGTAACTTCGGAGCTAGGAGGTGATCTGCAGCAAGAAGGACTCATGTTAGACTTAGAAAGGGCCTGAATGGCCTAGTGAAAAGGACTGAGGGTCAACTAAAGATGTGGCGAGGGCTGTGGGCCAAGGGGACAGGGTCAGAGGGCATGGGGGCAGGTGCACGGTGCGGAGGCCATCTCCTCCCTGCGCTGTGGCCAGATATTTTTAGGCTTTCCCGCAGCTGAGTAATTTCTCTGACTTGGAGCCAGAGCTGGGGTTGGGGTTGGGGCTGAGAGACTGCTGGGGGGTGTCCAGACTACCCTGAGGGACACCTAGGTCACTGGGGTCATCATGCTGGCTGGGAGGAAGCCCTCTCAGCTCTAGCCTATATCCTTTGGGAAGTCTGTCCTAGCCCCAGAGCCCAAATGTTTAGGCTGCAACTCATTTCTCTCCAGGGACCCAGGATAGCCTGGCTTCTTCCTCCCAGCTTAACTCCCCTCAAGGACAAGGACCGCTGGGCCCCAATCCGCTTTAGCTGCAGATTAAACTCTCTGAGAGACAGAAACTGAAAAAGACAGGGAGAGATGGAGAGACCCAGGGTGGGAGAATAAAAACCCAGAGAGGGGACAGAGACCTAATTAAGGGGAGGTGGGTGACCAGAGATCCAAGTAAGAGGAGGGACCAAGAGAGAGGGCAACAGAGACTTAGGGATTGAAGGAGATCTAGTGAGAACAATGGCCAGAGAAGCAGCGTGAGGGGGACAGAGACAGATCTAGGGAGGAGCAGAGATCCAGAGGCAGGGAGCGGAGACACCCAAAAAGATAGGTGGACGGGGACCCAGAAGTGGATGGGCGAGGGGTCAGAGCCCCAGAGAGAGGGGGATATCCAGGCCCAGAGAAAAGAGTAGAGCCCGAGGTTGGGTGGGGTGCAGAAAAATGATCAAGATAATGGACAAGACCGGGCCAGGGAGATCGGCGCTGTCGGAGCTCAAAGGAGAAAACTGAACAGATGGGTGGACCCCCCATGCCGGAGTGTCGCCTGTCCACCTGTCCGTCTGCAGCAGGTGGTAATGCGAGTCCTCCCCCGATCCTCACACTCTTCCCCTCCCAGGACCCCACCAGCTCACCGGTGCAGCTTCCCGAGGGCACGACCCGCTAGCTTCCGAAACTCCTCCTGGCGGAACTCCATGGTGGCGGCCCCTGCCGCGGGTCCCCCCGCCCGCGGGCCCGGGCGGCCGCGTCCGGGTTACCGGGGTCTGCCCCGGCCCGGCCGGCCCCGCAGCTCCGCTCGGGGGGGAAGGAGGCTGCGAGTGCCGGCTGCCTGGGGGCTGTCACTGGACTCAGAGCCGGGGCGGGGCGGAGCCGGGCACGGAGAGGCCCCGCCCAAACTCCACTAGACCCCGCCCCTTGTAAGCTAGTCCCTCCCCCTTTGCAGCCCTCTGTCCCCGCCGTCCATCCTAAGACCACGCCTTTGGTTATCTCACTTCTCCGAGTTGCATCGCCCCCCAAATCTGTCCCTTCCCCTCGTTACTCACCCCCGTTCCATCCCCCCAGCGCTTCTTACCCAGATTTTCTCTCCTGTCCTGAGTCCTCACTCCCATCTGAGATTCGTCCCCTGCACTTCGGTTCCCCCCAACTTCGTCCCTTACAGTTTCATCTTCCTCTGGGTTTCCGCCTGCGTTTCATACCCCCAGACCTACCTGTCCCGATTTCTGTGCCCTCCAGCTCCACCGCCCCGCTGACCTCCGACCCACCCGCCCCCGCAATTCCTTCCCCATCCCGCACCATCCCCAGTCCCCACGTTCTCATTCAGACGGTTCTTTCTTTTCTCCTTCAGGGAGTTCTTTTCCCTCTATTCTAACCCCGACTTCGACCCGCCCGCGATCCTCCTCTAGTTCCCCCCACACCCTTGAGATCCATCCACTTCCCAGTTTCCATCTTTCCCCTTTCGAATCCAAACCCCTCCATTCTATCCGCCCTCTGAGCGCGTCCCTCCTGCCCGCTCCTTCTCTCCCTGAGTTTCATTCCCCGCCCCCATCTCCTTCCCTCTGAGTTCCACCTCCTGCAGTTATAGCCCCCACCTGCCAGTTACGACCCCCGCGGTTCCCTCCCCACTCTGTGCTCTCTCCCCACTCCCCTGGGATCTGTCCACGCTCGGAGTCCTCCCCTAGCTCCCTGGGATCTATTCCGCTCTTCGAGGTCTGTCCTCACTCTCTGAGTTCTGTCCCCACCCCCTGGGATATGTCCCCGCCCTCCGCATTCTATCCCCTCCCCCGAGATCAGTCGCCGCCCTGAGTTCTGCCCCTTGCGCGGAGATCTGTCCCTGCTCTGAGTTCTCTCCCCACGCCCTGAGTTGTGTCGCTTCGGGCTAGGATCCTTCCCCGCCCTCTGAGTTCTGTCCCTACCCCTGCATTCCAGCCCCGCCTCTCTGGAATAAATCCCCGACGCTTCCAGGTCCCCAGCCAGCAGACAGGTACTGCCCCGCCTCTTTCTGCAGACTAGCCCTTCTCCCCGGTGATGAGTCCACCTCCAGATCCAGGCCCCGGAGGGCGCTCCGTTACCCACCGCCGCCCCGCGTCGGGCGGCAAATGCATTTGGTATTAAATTTTCATGAAGCAGCGCGCGAGGGCGTGGGAGGAGCAGACGGCGCGGCTGGCGGGCGCCAAGGACCGGGTGCCCGGAAAGCCACTGGCCGCTGCAGCCTTTCGCCTCCAGCCCTGGCTGGCTGGGTCTCTGGGTCCCACAATTTTGTCTGTGTTTGAGAAAGCTCCGGGTCCCGGAGAGGAGGAGGCTGCGGGCCTGGATTCTTTGGTCTGAGGGAGGAGGGTGAGGGGACCCGTATTCCAGAGCCTAAACGAGTAGCCGGCGGAGCCGTCCACACGCGCCACCGCGTGGCAGCAGAATCCCGGGCCCGGGAGCGGAGGCGGCGGCCGTGGCTCTGGGCCAGGTGCGAGGGTGGAGCAGATGGTGAAGAGGATGCAGTGGGAAGAAGGCCCCGCCGCTGCGGAAACCTGGGCCTTCGTCGGAACCATCACCATGGAAACCGAGGAAGGAAGAAAGAACCCAGACCCGCACTTTTTCAGGACCTGGGAACTGGATACTCGCAGCGGTTCACACGGAGAGTCCTCTCCAAACTACAAGTCCCAGCGGCCGCTGGACCTCACAGTTTGCTTGAGAAGGGCCGAGTAACCCGAAGGCGCCTGGGAGTTGTAGTTCTCTGAGACAACGGGCTGAGGCTTCGTTGCGCCCTCTGGTGTACATGGCGCCCACGTTCGCTCATCCACTTCGCGGCCAGACAGACCCTACCCCGCGACATCCCTCTACCTTTCTGACCTCGTCACCATCCACTCTCCTTCTCCCTCCCAATTCACTCCGTTCCACACTGGCCTGCTCGCTGTTCTTTCAATATTTACCGCTGAGATTCCCCCATATACTCACTAAAGAAGGGGAAGGTGTGGACCATCACTCATTAACTCAGGAAATATTTGAGTTGCTCCCATTTCCAGGCGTCCCCCGGCTACAGGAGACGTAGCTATAATGGGAGTAACACCGGGTACTGGGGACCACCAGAGGGGGATCTAACTCAGCCAGGGAAGATCAGAGAAAGTATGAAGTTTGAAAAGTTTTCCAGGGAAAGTTTGATAAAAGGAATGGGGGTGGTGGTAGAGGTGGGAGGAGAGTGGGGAGAGTACACCCAGCAGAGGAAACAGCACTTGCACAGCCGGGTGGCGAAAGCCTGCTGGTCCGAGACCCTACAGGGAGTTTGGTGGGATCGTGATACGAAGCAGGTTTCCAGGACTGGGCAGTTTGTCACAGGGCGAGCCTAGGGATCACATCACCAAAAGGCTCAGGAAGCAGCCCCTCAAGAGGGCACCCACTGCACGAGAGCTGAAGACATTTAGAAATGTCCTGGGTAGATGTACTGGAGATGAGGAACTAAGTAGAAGGAACAGCAGAAACTAAGAGATGTGAAAAAATGGGTGTGGTCAGGACACCGTTCAACATGATCGGACCCCAGTGAGAGGAAGAGGTCAAAGGGGGAATGAGGCGGCCAGACCACATAGAGCCTTGAGAGCCAGGCTGCGGGCCTCGGGCCTTCTCCCGGGGGTGCTGGGGAGCCACAGGGGGGCAGTGAATGGAGAAGAGGTCAGCTCTGAGGCCCTGGGGAGGACTAACGAGGGGAAAGACTGGAGGATCCAGTGGGAAAGGAGGAGGCCTGAGCTGGGGCAGTGACCTCTATGGGACTCTAGGTCCACAGCCCAATGTCCCTCTTCCTTCCCACTCCCCACATACCACTAGCCAAAAACAGAACAAAGGCAAAAATCTTTTATTTCAATTTTAGGGAAGCCACCGGCCTGTTCTCCACATCTGAAAGCATAGGGAGACAACCTGGTCAGGAAGGCACAGACAGAAGGGGCATGGCCACCATCAATTGCTAAGGAGACAGAAGAAAGAGAAGGAGGACTCAGGACTCAGAAGTCCAGTCCCCAGCCCTGACCCAGGAGTCCAGGCCCCCCACTTCCCTTCCGCTTCCACCAGGTACCTTTCTCTTCCGGTGGAAGGCTGCCCTGCTCTCATCAGAGTTGACCCGCAGGGGGATGTAGGCATCCAGGTGATACAGCTGCTGGGGGCCCCGCATCACCAGGCGGTTCTCCCCGATCTCCAGCGACAGCCCCAGTGCTCTGTCCTGGGGATGTGATGGAATCAGCCCACCCTGCCCAGCAACAGTACGATAATAACATGGACCAGGCATAGTAGCCTCACATGCTGGGAAAACTATATTAAAGGGTCTAATCTCTCAGGAAAAAGGTAGAGAACAGTAATTACAAGTCTCAATGAGTGAGCGCTTACAATCCCTTGGGCATCCTTAGGACAGCACCACAGGGTGGCCCTGTGGACCCGTAGGACAGAGGAGGCAGCTTACACAGGTCTGGCAACAGCCCCTCGTCACTCTCCCTCAGAGACAGGCCCTGGCCATTCCAGACCTCACTCTCCTGCTCCAGTCGACCGCGCACTCACCAGTTTGGGGAGGTCAATTTCGGCCAACAGAAGGTCAGGGGCTTCCAGCCAGAGGTTCAGGTGAGGCTTCTCGGGGCTGAGGAGGAGCAAGGGTCAGAACCGAGGACAGCTGCCAGGTCGTTCGTTGCCTGTGCCTGGCATGCTGTTCCCTTTCTCTCTCCAACCAAGCCTACTGCCCCAGGACACCTTCCCAGTCACCAGTTCTCTTTCTTCCCTCCCTGGGTTCCGAAGGCCCCAGGGCATCTCCCAGCGTGGGGAGGAAGGGTCGAGGGAGGGATTCAGAAGATCGTTGGGGAGACATTAGACATTAGGGGATCCACTGAAGGCTCACCCTTCCTCATGTCTCCTGGAGTCGGGCGTGTCCAGGTTCCCCAGCTCCTGGATCTGAGGACGCTGCTGGGAGCGGATGTTCTGCTGGGAGATGGAGCCCAGGAAAGTTCGGTTCTTCAACATGCGCCATTCTGAGTCAAAGATCACAGAGGTCAAGGTTCCCTTTGCTCTCTCAGGAGGTCTTGCACAGCCAAGAGCCTCCCAAGACAGACTCCGCCCCTCCCTGGACGCCCAGGGCCTAACCACATCCCCAAGCTTGGCTCCAGGAAGCCCGCCCACCGTAGCCCCGCCCTTCCGTGATATGCCCCAGTAAAATCCGCCCCTCAAGATGCTCCTAGCTCCGCCTCTGCCAGGTTGTCCAGACTCCGCCCCTTGTCTGGAATCCCAAGCCTGGCCCCGCCCCCTCACTTTGGGAAGCTCCACCCCCTCACTGGAATCGCAGCCTCCAGAACAGGAGCTGAGAAAATCCCAGCCCAAGCTATGCCACGTCTCCTGAGGTGGCCCCCAAACCGTATCTGGCTCCACTCCTTCCCAACGGCCCAGGCCCCGTCCCTCACCCGGATTCAGCTGCAGGCTGTATTTGTCCTCAAGGCCCTCCCTGGCAATGGTGACCACGAGCTCCCGCAAGAAATCGCTGTTCTAGGAGAGAGGAAGAATCGAGGCGGTGGGGCTAGGGTGTGGCGGAAGAGACCCTTGCCCAGGTCTCACCCACAGCCCCGCCCCAACCTGCATCCTCCGGTAGAAGTCGCTGTTGACAGCTACGTCGTAGGCGGTGCAGCCCTGGCCTTCTGCGGGGAGAGAAAGGGGGTGAGAACCCCCAGCCCAGACACGGACCAGGAAAAAAACATTCAGGGCCAGCAGCTACAAGAACCAGAGACCCAGAGATATTAAGGAAGTGAGAGCTCGACACACTCACTTTCCACTCTGGACTCTCAGACCAGCCTCCTCCGCAGCCTCCAGTCTCTCCTTCTTCGGTCCATCCCTACAAGGTCACTAGAGATGACCCCATCCCTGGCCTGCTCACAGCTCTCCTCGGCTCCCTGGCGCCCCCAAACGAAGGTCTGAGTCCCTCAACCTGGTGTTGGGGGGCCGCTGTGGTTTGCCCCTCCCACCTCTGGAGAAAAGTTTCTTTCTCCTCTAGCGACCCTTGATTACTAGCCAACCTGATCCAATCATTCTCTCCTGGCTTTGGGCCCCTGGGTCCCTTCTGCCTAGAACCCTCTTCTCTGTCTTTGCCTGATGAACTCTTCCTGTTCCTTCCACTCTTATCCGACATCTTGTCCAGGAAGCCTTCCCTGACCCCTCCGTGTGGGTGGAGAGCCCCCTGGGGCTGCGCTGGGCAGCACGAATCCATATTGAAACTGCACCAGTCTCCTTCAGCCCCACCGGTGACAAGAAGTTTCTGAAGAGTGGGATTCAGGTTTGGTAGGTCCTTGTTCCCCAGGGTACTGCCTAAAGCTTGGTCCCAGGAGCCTTCAAGAGGCACATGTGAAATGAATGAAAAAAAAAAGGAAACAGAGACAGAAATTTGGACAGAGGTGAGAAGGTGAGACAAGGCAGAGATGGGGACAGGAAGAAAGAGCAAAGGAGATAACCGGGATGAGAGAGAGCCAGCCCAGGACTAAAGCCGCATCAGGCAACGCTCACCAAGCACTCTGCCAGGCCTCCCCTGAGCTGGAGTGGGCCACGGAGAAGTGCTAGCCTGGCCAGGTGGCAGAACCAGGACTGCCCAGGTGCCGGGTGCCCAGGAGGCAAGGGATAAACCACAGAGAAAAGGATCACGTCAGGGGGCCAGATTTCCAAGACTTGAGGGAAAAGGGTCTTCGGCCCTAGATTCTTGGGTTCCAGGGAAGAAGGGACCTAGGGGGCTAGACTCCAGGGTCCTCTTAGGGCACTGACTTGCATCCAGTTCGGCATGAGGCTCTCCCAGACTCATGGGGATGCGAAACCCAGCTTGGTCCTCCTCCAGCATTTGAAGAAGCTCATCCTCGGTCACGTCAGCTGGAGGAGGGATGGAGGCAGAGTGACAGATGTTGATGAAAACCTTGCCTTCCGATGAGTTGGTCTTTATGCAGAAACCTGGTGGGAGTGAGTTTGTCTTGACCATCTGTCTCTACACAAGTCTCAGACTCCACCCATCCTCTCCAGTCCCTGTCCCTTTCCCTCTTTTGGTCTGTCCCCCTGTCTTTGGGTCTCTATCCCCCTCTTTCTGGGTCTGTTCCCCTCCCCTGTGACCCCTGACCTTCTTCCTATCTTTGAATCTGTCCCCCTAGCCACTCTTGCTCTCTGTCCTCCGCCTCTTCTCTTTGGATTACTGTCCCTGGGTGACTGTGGGTATCTGTTTATCCCACCCCCCCCCAGGCCTTTATACCCCATTATTCTGTCTCTTTCCTTCCTCCTCTCTCTCTGTCCGCTTCCCCCGGTCTCCACGCCCCCTCCGTCTGGGACTCTATCCCTCTCTCTCTGGGTTTCTGTCTTTCTCACCAGGCTGAGGTTGGATTTGTGTAGATTCTGGTCTGGTTGTCTGGGCTTGCTGGAGCTCCTTGGAAGCCTGGGTGAAGGAAAACCACCTCCAAGTTTAGAGTCTGTGCTATCAGACCCCCTTTAAGGGGTTCCTCAAACTTTTGAAGGCAATTCTTATGTATGAGAATACATACATAACGAGAGAAATTAGACAGTCTAGGTCCCCTTCCTTCTTTGAGGAGCCCAACCCCATTCCCATTTCTTTCAGAGCCTAGAAAACTTGGAGCCAAGAAACTACAATTCCTGTAAGCCTTGCTGGCGCCCTAGTGCATTCTGGGAACTGTAGTCCCGTTTTTGAGCACCCCCGCAAATTCCCCGAATACCCAAGGATCCCGGAGTCCGGTCACTTTGCACCTGCAGCAGCAGCTCCTCGAATCGCGCCGTCTCAGCACCTATCGTCTCTGCCTCGCTTAACTCCGGTGCCAGCAGCTGCGAGTTCGCCATGGCCTAGGGAAAGAGACGTAGGCGTCCTCAGTACCCTCGACGTAGGGAACTTTGCCGGGATCCGAACTCTGGTGCCTGCTTCTAGTCCTCGATCGACTCCGATACCCTCTATTCTGTTCAAAAACCTAAGACTCTAGGCTGAGACGACAATTCCATTCCAGATCAGACACTCTCGTCAAATCCGTTGGGAATCAATATTACTAGAAGCACCCTCTGTCCTACGTGCCCAATATGTAAATGAAAGCCACACTTCCGGTCGCTGTGTAACCATGGCACTAGAGTAGGCCACCCTTCCGCGTACCCCAACGCTCGTTCACAAGCCGGCAACGCGTTACCGACAAGCCACGCCTCCTCCTCTCAACCAATCAAAACTAAATCCTTAGCCCGATTCCGAAATGCCACACTTCCTATGTCCATAAAGCCACACTTCCGTTCTTTTCAGACAACCACTGCAGGCCAGGTTACTGTGCAGTCGGGGCTGCCACACTTCACGCTTTCAAAACCTTAATCTCGATGTCCATCCTAAAAGACTCGCTTTTTCCTCCCAACTCCCTTGTCTTTGAACTATCACTTCATCCCAAATCTAGATCCGGATTCCCAGTAAATATAATTCTGACTAAAAGGTGCACTTCCTGTCCCCGATATTATGTAATGGGAAGACACACCAATACGTCCAACCTTCTCAATTCGGAACCCACACTTTTCGGGTCTCCCCTTCCTCCCCGTTTTGAGGAGTACGCATGCTCCGAATGACATTTCTCAGAGCGAGCCTCTGGGTGGGTTCTTCTCGTCCCAAACCTGGGGAGTGGGCGGGGGCACGCGCTATAGTTACCGTGGCCCCGCCCCCTTCTCGTTGGTCCCGCCCTTTGAGGGCTGGAGGGGGCGGTGTCACCCTTTGGACCTCACGGTTCCCTTGGGCAGAGTGCCCCGAAGTCCTCCGTGGAAAGCGGTCCAGGCGGGCGATGGCTGCGACGCGTGCAGGGCCCCGCGCGCGCGAGATCTTCACGACGCTGGAGTACGGACCCGCGCCAGAGAGCCACGCATGCGCACTGGTGAGAGCCTGCCTGGCCGGTGCTACCCGCTCCCTTCCCCAGGCTGGGGGGGGGCCAGTTTTGCGCGGGGACTCCCGTCATCCACCGCGGCGGCTCGGCAACTCCGACCCGCTCAGCTCTCGAGACTCCCGCCAACCGTAGGACCCGGCCCTCCGGGACGTTTTCTGGAGCCTTGGCGGCTGCTGCCTGTTAACCACATCATCCCTAGTAGTTCTTTTGCTCCTCGGTCTTGAACTCCCCGGGATGTTTCTGTGATGCCTGAGAACGCTCCAAATGACCCTTGTGATTGATTCCTCAGAGCCCCTCAGACCCTCCCGGGATCCCCCGGGACTCACAATTCCTATCGGGGGACTTGATCACCCGGAGACCTTCAGAGCTTCCGCGCAGTCCCCGTGATTCCTCAGGGCCTTCAAAACTTGTGAGGCTCATGTGATCTCATGGGAACTTTCAGAACCCCAGAATGCATCAGGACTTCCCATAATTTCTTAACGGCCCCTCCGAATACCCCGTGGGGCTCCCGTGATTCCTCTGGCTCTCAATGCCCCAGAGAATCTCCAGGATTCTTCAGGACCCCCTATAATCCTCATGAGGCTCCCCTGATCCCTCCGGGCTCCTCAGAACCTCCCGAGGACTCCCATGGCCCCACAGGGGCCCCTGGAACACTCTTGGGGTTCCTGTTGATAAGTAGGGCGCCTTGAATTTTCTGTCATTCCCCAGAGCCTCTCAGAATTCCCTCATGGGCCTCTCCTGATCCCCCAGGGTCCTCCAGCGCCCAGCACAAGGAGTTAGGGTTCTTTGAAGGGAAGGGCAGGAGTGGAGGCGAGTGCAGTGGTCCGAGTGGAAGGAGCTGAGGCTGGAGCCTGGCGTAGGCTGTGCAGTTGGAGAGGAGGGCATAGGGAATAGGGTTTGGGGGACTGAGAGGGCAAGGACTGGCGCTGGGGTCTGGGTCTGTGACGGGGTGGTTGTCCCTGCATAATAAACCCGGTAGGAGCATTGGAGGAAAGACACCAAGCTCAATAGTGACATGGTGAGAGTGTGAGAGACCTGTGGACAGTCATAGCAGTGTACAGTAGTCAAATGCCACTTGGGCCTGTGCCTCAGAACCAACTGTTGAGCTGGAGACAGAGACCTGGGAGTCGCCAATGTGGAAAGACAATTGAACTTGTGGGAGTGACTAGAGATATATTGCAGACTCAGATAAAAGGTTTTGAGACAAAGTACAGAGAATTCTTATACTTGGAGGGTGATTAGAGATGAAATGTCCTAAAATAGCAATAATGTGATAATAGCTTATATTTATTGGATGCCTTCTATGTGCCAGCCCCCATGGCACGATGTCATTTAATCCCCCAAACTGAGAGGAATTATTGTCATTATTTTAGTGATAGCACAAAAAAGCTTGAAGAGGTAGGTCATTTGCCCACCATCCATACACTTTAAAAGAAGTCAAGCTGGCCCGGCACAGTGGCTCACACCTGTAATCCCAGCACTTTGGGAGGCCGAGGAGGCAGGAGGATCACTTGAGGCCAGGAGTTCAAGACCAGCCTGGGCAACATAGCCAGACCACTACTCTACAAAAAAAAATTTAAAAATTAGCTGGCATGGTAGTGTGCACTTATAGTCCTAGCTACTTGGAAGGCTGAGGCAGGAGGATCACTTGGGCTCAGGAGTTTGAGGTTGCTGTGAGCTATGATCACACCACTGTACTCCAGCCTGGGCAGCAGCAAAATCGTGTCTCTAAAAAATAAAAATAAAAAGAGAAGTGAAGCTGAGATTTGGACTCGAGCCCCTGAATTCCAGACCCATGGACTCTTCCCCACCAGCAAAATTCTCAACTTTACAGCCTACGGGCCGGACTCAACCAACAAACATGTTTTCTTTGGCCTGAACTTTATTTTTGAAAATATGAATTACTGGATTGATACCATGTAAACATCCAGCTTCTCTTGCAAAGAAAATTCCAACATCTGACAACCTTTGGCTTGAATTCCCTGACAAAAATCATCTGGAACCAATAGTGACTGTCTGTTCTTAGGCTCCCAGTCTCCACCAGGCCTGTTCTCATGCGTAAATGGCCTGCCAGGACCCTGTGGACATACTTTTGGGGTTTTGTTTTTCTTTTGGAGGAAATTTTTCCAACTTCCACAGAGTCATTCATGTTTATTATGAACTCCCAAATAGCCATCAACAATCATCAACATTTGGTTCAATGTTATTTCCCCTCTTTTCTTTTTTTTTATTTTTTTGAGGGGGTAATTTAAACAAATCCCAGATGTCATATTATTTTCTCATAAATATTTAAATCCTTTCTTTTTTTTTTTTTTTTAGAGACAGAGTCTCAGTCTGTCGCCCAGGCTGGAGTACAGTGGTGCAATCATAGCTCACTGCAACCTTGAATGCCTACCTGGGCTCAGGCAATCCTCTTGCCTCAGCCTCCCCAGTAGCTGGGACTACAGGCATGTGCCACCACACCCCAATAATTTTTTTTATTTTTTGTAGAGACGGGGGTCTCACTATGTTGCCAGGCTGGTCCTGAACTGGCCTCCAGCAATCCTCCTTCTGCCTCCTCAGCCTCTCAGAGTGCTGGGATTACAACAGAAAGTGACCTATTTTATTACAGAACTACCATGTTGTTATCGCACTTAACATGAACAGTCATTCTTTAATATCTAATGTCCATTTCATGTTCTAGTATCCCTATTTCAAAAATATCTCTTTCCCTGTGAGCATTTGAGTTTGAAACTTCTGAGTGACCTTTTTGCTTTAAAGAGAAATGAGAAGGGCTAGTTGGCGGGGAAGGGAAAATATGGCGTCAGGGATGCTAAGAGAATCTGAAGGAGAAAGTGGAAAATATGCCTCGAGTTTAGCAACAGAGGAGACATGACCAGGGAGAAAAGGAAACGTGGAGCAGATGTGGGGGTGCGATGCAATTAAATTAATAGCAAGTTTTATAGGAGTGCTGCTCTGAGCATGTGATCTGCATTGATTCATTGAATCCTCACCACAGCCCTGTGACGTAGGGAGAGACTATGATTAGCCCCAAATTCCAGATGGCTCGGCAGAGGCACTTAGTATATAAATCCCTGGCTAAGGGTGCACATCAGGGAAGTCCCAGAGCTGACCTGGCCCCTAACTCCAAGGACTCCACCACGGGCTACCCCTCTGTGACATGTGTGCACCATGCCTTGGACTCACTTAGACGTGTCACAGCCTATTTAGGCTGCACCTGGCAAGGCAGCATTAGGCCTCTGTCTTCTGTGGAGATCCCCACTGCTCCCCCAAGTGATGACAGCTGAGATAGGAGAGAACAAGATCACATGGGTGGGTGTGGGAGCCCCCTAGCTTAGAAGCCCCACATCCCAAGAAAAAGTTACCACTAGAAATAGTCTCATGGGCATTGCTTCCAGGGTGCTGGCCAGGGACATGCGCAGTTATGACAACGTAGAGCCCTACGCCCTTTTTTTTTTTTTTTTTTTTTAAGAGACAAAGTCTTGCTGTTGCTCAGGCTGGTCTGGAATTCCCGGGCTCAAGGGATCCTCTAGCTCGGAAGACAGGCACACACCACCATGCCTGGCTAATTTTTTCTACTTTTAGTAGAGACAGGGTCTCGCTCTTGCTCAGGCTGGTCTCGAACTCCTGACCTCAAGGGATCCTCTCAGCTTCCTGAGTAGCTCGGAAGACAGGCACACACCACCATGCCTGGCTAATTTTTTCTACTTTTAGTAGAGACAGGGTTTCGCTCTTGCTCAGGCTGGTCACGAACTCCTGACCTCAAGGGATCCTCCCACCTCGGCCTCCCAGAGTGCTAGGATTACAAGCCTGAGCCACCACGCCCAGCCCCTGCTGGGTGTTTGTGGTGCATCTTCAGCCTTCCCAGTCCAGGTCACGGACCAATCTGCACTCAATGTCGCTTAATAACACAAGTGAATTATGTCAGGTTTTCAGGGAAATAGAAACTTAACCTGTGGTCATTTCACCATTTCTCCATGTAGGAAAAAGGTTTCACTCATCTTTATTTTTTTTGAGACAGGGTCTCACTCTATTGCCCTGGCTGGAGTGCCGTGTCATCATCATAACTCACTGCAACCTCAAAGTCCTGGACTCAAGCGATCTTCCTGCCTCAGCCTCCTGAGTAGCTAGGACTATAGGCACGCACCACCATGCCACTAATTTTTCTATTTTTTTGTAGAAACAGGTTCTCGATACGTTGTTCAGGCTGGTCTCAAAACTCCTGGCCTCAAGCGATCCTCCTGCCTTGACCTCTCGAAGTGCTAGGATTACAGGATTGAGCCACCGCGCACAGTCGGGTTTCATTACTCTTTTGTTGATATTCTCCGTGTTTAAAAGTCAATGAGACATCCCCCATGTGTTGCTGGCGGGAATGTAAAATGGTGCAGCTACTGTAGGAAACAGCAGTAAGTTACACAAAGAGTTACCATATAATCCAGTAATTGCACTCCTAGGTATAGACCCCAAAAGAAATGAAAACATATGTCCGAAGAAAATTTTGCATGTGAGTACTCATAGCAGCAGTACTCACAATGGCCAAAGGCAGAAATACCCCAAATGCCCGCCAACGCATGAATGCGTAAACACAATGTGGTAGGTCTATGCAATGAAATATTTCTCAGACATGAAAAGAAATGAAGTTCTGATGTGTGCTAC